AAGTCTGGGTCTTGAGAGGGGTTGCTGAAATCACGAAACATTCCTACAGCCTGAAGATACCTTTTCATGTGCTTTACTTTGTTTTCATCTCGGCCTAAATTATGGTAGTATAACAAATAACATGATATTATTTCCTGATTATGTAAATTAGTATCTCTATCAGCAGTTAAGTACTACGCATTCCATGTATACACACACACATACTGACAACTCTATCAACCCTTTTGCTTTCCAGCTTATAATCTGATCCTCAGGCTGATGCTGCTTTTTCTTAGGGGCCATTAGCTGATCAGTTATTCCTCTAAAATCACTTTCTGGAAAATATTCTGGTCCTACTTATAGATAATCCTTTGTGGTTACAGCCCTCAATTGGGTAGAGAAAAACTCAAGCTAACTGGTGAAGTACATTTACCTTCAACCAACCACAAAAACACTGGGCATACCACATTGCTACTGCTAAAATAATTAACCCACCACAAACCTCAAGCTGTTAAGTACTTCCTATGTGCCTGCCACTCTGCTAAATATTTGAATATATTACTTCAAACTCTAATCCGTTATCATACCCTCTTAGACAGTATTATTACTATTCTCATTTGTGGGTGAGGACATCAGGGTTCAAGACCAGGACATCCATAGTTCTCCTACAGATACTGAAAGCAAATGACACAACTAGGATTTGAACTTCAGTTTACCTCCAAAGTCCTAATTTACCATTTTATATCACCAGGACTATGACCCTGAACCTCTGCTATTTAACATTATTCAAGATTCTGGTATAGGAGGTAAAACTCATAAAGAAAACCCAACAGACATGCAGTCCTCTTGCTTCTCTGACAGTTAAATGAGACGGAAAGGCTGACACAAGCAACAGATGAACCCTTTGTTAGTTCTAACTACACAGTGGAGGTCATCAGCTTTTAGCAAGGACCTGGTGAAAGACAAGTGTCTGACCATCAAAACATCTGTCATGGCCTGTTATTAAGTGCACTGCTTATTACATGTCATGTCTTCTTCATAAAGATTAACAAGAGATTTATTTCTTTTGGGGATTAGTAAGCGCAGGATTTTCCTTCTTCTGAGGCAGTAGTGAACAGGTGTTACACATTTGGTACCAGCTCACTAGGAGGTGCAGTGGCAGCTCCAGCACAACAGGGAGGACGTCCAGACGTATTCTGCAGCTTCTTCCCTCTCCCAGCTGCTGTCCCCTTCCTCCTCCTTCGGCCTGTGCCCTCAACACTATATTCTTTTTTTTTTGGCAGAACTGGGGATTGAACTCAGGCCCTTGCTCTTGCCAGGGTAGTGCTTATTCCACTGAGGCATCTCTCTGGCCTCCAAAAAGGATCTTGAAATCATGTTTTTGGTCTTCTTCCAATTATCTTTGTCCAAAGGACCATTAGGATCTTAAAGATTAGTTTCATTTCTTTAAATTTATAAGCTTACATTAGCTCATAAGGTAAAAAATGAACTCACAAGACCTGAAATCTAACGTGCATTATATCTTAGGGTGGGTAATGGTCGTGATAAGATTTGTTTCAGACAAAGGGCACTGTACTATACTGCAAGGGCCAGAAGACTAGAGAGAATATGGGGAATTTCATTAGTCCTATAAAATGCAATAAGCAAGTAGTTAGATGTAAGAAATAGAATTAAGTAGAGGCCAAGTCATAGAAGATCTTGTCCACCCCCTTGAGTGAGTGTATTTGTTTTTTGTTCCAGTAATGAGTGCATTTGTTTTTTGTTCCAGTGCTGGGTAACTTAGAAAAGAAGTTCATTTAGCTTACAGGTTTTTTTCCCCCCCCCGGGAACCGGGGATTGAACTCAGGCCCTTGCGCTTGCCAAGGAAGCACTTATTCCACTGAGCCATCTCCCTGGCCCCTCAACAGTGTGTTCTGCTCTTACTTTTCTACATCTTTTTCACTTCTAATCCTTTGGGGAACAAGGATGTGCTAATTTCAATATGGTTGAACTTTACTAAAACCATTTTTTAAATGAACATTTCACCACAGTCTTTACTTCTTCCAGAGGAATCGTTTAAGACTACGGAGCCCTCCCTCACTTGCTCAGACATCTGTTCAAATTTCAGCTCCATGACACTTTGCTGATCTTTCTGTCTATAAAAAAGTACTCACAGGTACTTTCTCCACCTCCCCTGCTTCCTTTCTCATTATCACACATGGTGTCTGTTTACTTGTTTGCTGTCTTTGCTTCTCATGAGATCGTAAGATGTATGATGGCAGGACTTAGTTTTCTGTTCACTGCCATAGGTCTGAGACCTAGACTCAGTATTGAGAATATTTGAAATGAGTTCCTGACTGAATATTTAATGTTTTAAAAATAAACTTAAGAATTAAAGAAAAGAAAAACTTTTTCAATGTTAAACATCAAACTTCTCAACTAATTTGCACAAAGTTAAACATCTGCTGAGATAAAATGCCTTTCTATGTAGGATCTCATTTCAGTTTTGAACAACATGAGAGGGGCATTGCAGTGTCCTGTTTGATGGCAGTTGCAGGTTTGGATTCTGACCATGCTATTTATTAAGTCTGAGTAATAACATTTCTCTGGTCCTTAGTTTGTACTCTGATTGTTTAATTGTCTAATCAAATTACCTTACAGGTGTGGAGATGACAGCATGACTACCAAGAGCCTGGTACACAACAGCTACACTGTGCGCAGCAGATACTGGACCATTGCTAAGATCATGTGTCTTAATGTCCAAAAAAAAAAAAAAAACAACCCAGAAAATTCTAGTAAGAGCAGACAAGTTTCAATATCTAGGCTTCCAGAGTACTGAAGCTGTATTTTCTGCACCATTTCCATCTCACACCTTCTTAAATTTGAATAACTCACTCTGACATCACATAGAGGGAAAAGCTGGTCAACTCTAACCCAAGAACACCTTGTGGGGCAGAGACAGAGGGTGGGTCTCAGATTCTCAGGGTTCTACGAAACCTTAGCAAGAAGCCCTCTGTGTTTGCAGTCTGTCACTTACCAGTCTGTACCAGGTACTTGATACTAACTTCATCAACTGGGAAAAAGGCAGCAGTTGCTCCATACTCTGGACACATGTTGGCGATTGTAGCCCGGTCAGCAATGGACAGCTGGGCTACTCCTGGCCCAAAGAATTCAACAAATTTGCCTACAACTCCAACCTGGCGGAGGTGCTAAGCAGAGGGAAAAAACCAGAAAAGTCTGAGACCTGAGAGTTCACATTTAAGGAGCCAGGGATAAGCTCAGCAGCACAGCCTCTGCCTAGCAAGTGTAAGGTTCTGAGTTTGATTCCCAGTACCAAAACAAAATGCAAAACTATCACTGTGCAATTTTTATAAACTTACCTTAAAGTAAACATAAATAATAAATTAACTCAACATGCTTTAAATTATTAAAAAAAAAATTTAAAAGCATCACTCCTTAAATACAACATGGTGTCCTGGTAGGATCTTGGAACAGCAAAACGACATTACTGAAAAAACTGGCAGTCTGCAGTAGCGCACTATACCAATGTCAACTTCTTAGTTTTGAGAAATGTTATGTAAGATTTTGCCATAAGGAAAACTGACAAAGGTTACGGCAACTCCCTGCATAATCTTTCTGTCAGCACTCTGGTAAATCTAAGACAATGTCAAAATAATTATTTTTAAAAAGGAAAAAGTAATTCCAAAATACAACACAAAGTATTTTCAAAATACAAAACACTCCCTAATGAGATCACTACATGTCTAGAAATACTAAAATTAATAAACCTAGGGCCGGCGAGATAGCTCAGTAGTCTAAACCACCTGCTTAGACAAGCACAGGGACCGAGGCTCAATCCCCAGAACCACATGCCATGCCAGCCCTGCCCCCAGGGTGGGCTAAGCCAGCCACACACACAAAAAATTAATAATGATAATAATAATAATAATAATAATAATAAACCTAAATAAATCAGTATAAAATCACACTAAGTAAATGACTTGTTTTGAAAGGTATAATGGAAAACTTCATGATATAGGTACAAGTCAAATGCAAGGAAAGGATTCGGACAGCCTAACTTCTGTGTCTTTTTCCACAGATGCCATCTGCCAAGGGTGAGGCTATGGGTGACTTAGCCCTGCATATAGGCGGGCTCATGGACTGCCACCAATTTCACAGAAAGAAAGGCTTTTTTAATTATGTAGCTCTGTCAAATTCTATGTATTATTATTATTTTTTTTTTTTTTCGGAACCGGGGATTGAACTCAGGCCCTTATGCTTGCCAATCTCTCCGGCTCCCAGCTATGCCAAATTCTGTGAGCAAGCCTTACATTATTCCATAGTAAAAACACTGTACAGATACGTGTGGCAAGCTATCATGTTCAAATAAATCCAATTCCAGATGCTACAAACATTAAACGAAAGAGAAATTTTTTTGAGCCATTTATAGTGTTTATAGAAAATACTCTAACCCTCCAAACTATATAACCAGAAAAAAAAAAATATGCTTGTAATAAAAAAACTATTACTTTCTAATAGTTTTCTAAAATGAAACTTTCTTCTTTTTGCAAAGCAAGCAAATAAAATAAAATAAAAAATAAAAAAAGCAAGCAAATCATAAAAAATATGGTTTCCTCCAAAAGTATAAGAAAAAATGTTAATATTTTCCAACTTAGAAAAACATCTGTTACAATAATGTAACTTAGAACACAAAGGAAGAAATTTAAAAAGGCACACATTATTCATATACTATTTACTGTTTATATACAAATAAAAATCATGTGGAAAAATAATAGCAAAAGTAGCAAAAAAACATGAGCATGGAACTAATTCTAACCATCTTAGGATACTGATTACATCTAGGAATGCGTAGGGTGGCTTCAGCCATACATATTTTATGTTACTTCTTTATAAACACAGGGATGCCTGAAACAAATATGGCAAAATACTTATATAAATCTAAGTGGAAAATATATATTTTGATCTCTTTATTTTAATTATGTCATAATTTTAAAACTCAAAATAAAGGTCTGTGTAGCAAAAGAATAAAATGAACATTTAAGCACTGAATATTCCCCTTATCTATTTTTAAAATTATAATGTATTCTTTTCTAGCACTGCTAGATTCTACTCCACTGTGTATTTATGCTTGGCTTAGTGCTGAATTTCCAAGACCACAGAAGAAGGAGCATGCTGTTACCTTGGTGATGGTGAGCACAATGTCGGTTGATGTTACCAGAGGCTGAGGCTTTCCTGTCAGCCTATAGCCAATCACCTGGGGAAGCACCATGCTGATTGGCTGACCCAGCATTACAGCTTCTGCTTCAATTCCACCCACACCTGCAATGGAGGGTGTGGCTAAAATAATGCTTGCATTACTTCTTATTATAGCCCTCAGGCATGAATTGAAAATTCAGTTACATTATTTAACTAGCACAGAGCTGGGTTTCTGTAAGGAACAGTTATTATTTTCTGGCCCTCCACATCCCAACCCTTTTGGTGCTAAGGATTGGATCCACGGTCTCTTCTATGCTAGGCAAAAGCTCTCCAAGCTATACCCCCAAGTCCACATCTACAAATATTTCACAAGTGTTTTCCTAAGTATGATCACCCCCCAATACCTATGTCAAGATCCCCTCAGTGCCACTCAAAGCAGAGTAAGATGTAGTCTTCATCCCATCATGCCCTCCCAACCTGGGAACAAATCCAGGGAGCACTAGGCTATATTTGTGGCCCCCTTTTATTCTACTTCAAGGTACAATTGAAAGAGAAACCAGAGCATTATATTTTAATTTGAGATAGGACTGTCTAAATTGCTCAGGTTGGCTTTGAACTCAATGACTTTCCTACTTTTCCCACCTGGATAACTGAGATTGCTGTACCACTATACCTGGCTATAACAGATAGTCTTTTTTTTTTTTTTTTTTTCAGAACCGGGGATTGAACTCAGGCCCTTGTGCTTGCCAGGCAAGCACTTATTCTATTGAGCTATCCCCCCAGCCTCAATAGATAGTCTTAATATACACTTTTAATATACATCCACCAGGGGCTGGAGAGATGGCTCAGTGGTCTAAAGCACCTACTTGGAACAAGCTTGGCAAAGCACAGGGACCGCGGTCCGATCCCCCAGCACCACATGCCAGCCAGCCCCGCCCCCTGGTGGGCTGAGCTGGCCACACACACACACACACACACACACACACA